CCCAGGTCAGGGAGAATTGCCAGTGCCCTGTGGCCCCGCACGAAATGAACCACAAACACCAATGCCACACCTCTCTCTCAGGGCTTTCCTTACTATTATACAAATAACATACACATTGTGATTTTTAGAATAGAGATAAGCAAAAAGTTTAATAACCATAAAAGGACAAATACCACTTATATAGGAGCTACCTAGAATAGACAGATTCATAAAGACAATATGTAGAATAGCAATAACCAGGGACTGGGAAAAGGAGGAAATGAGAATGGTTGTTCAAGGGGTTTACAGTACCTGTTTATAGCAACAGGTACTGTAATATTTAGTGGTAATGGTCCTACAAGATTACAAATGGATTTGCTGACACTGAATTGTATACATAAAAACCATCAAAAGATATTTTTATGGTTTTCAATGGAGCATTAAAATTTTAAAGTGATTATATCTAGAAAAAAGATTAGAAATTAAAATCTCCCCAAATTCTACCACTTAGAGAGACCTGCCATGAGTGCATTGCCGTCCATCCTTGCAGACACAAATCTAAATGGGTGGCATGGTATGTTTCACAAAAGTAGAACCCTTCCTGGTAGCTTCCTTCTTAGAAATACATAGTATCTGTCCATGATTACAGATGCACATCCACAGCCTTTAGTTTTGAAGCCACATGATATTCTATACCATAATTAACTAACTCAGGATTGTAGGCATTGTAAACAATGATTCAAGGGACATCCCCAGGCTCTTGTCCAATTATATCCTTAGTGGAGTGTTGATTCAGGGGCTCCCTCAGGAAGGCTGTGTCAACGAGCAGGCAGCATAAGCTACTCCAAGGACGTGAAAAATTCTGTCTTACAAAATTCTACTCTCCACATGGATCTTTCTTCAAGTCCACTTGATTCCTAGGAAATCGCACAGTGTTCAAGAAGTCAGACTGTCTTTTCCACAGAAGCCGCCCTAACCTCCCTTCAGGCCTTCCATGGCCTCACATCTCCTGTGGGAGTGGTGGGCAGGCAGAGTCATCCTGGGTCAGTGTCCACTGTGCTTCTTATCCAGCAGGAGACCCTAGCACCTCTTGAGGGTGCCCAGAGATGTGTGTCCGTGAGGATGGACACACGCTTTTGGAAAGCTTGTTGTTCAAGACTTCAGTCTTGAGTAGACATTTAAAGAAATCGGGGGCTAGAAGGGACCCATGGAACCACCTAATCCCTTACCTTTGAGCTGAGGAAGTAAGGTCCAGAAAGACCCAGCATAAATGTCTCTGTAGCCATCTTATGGCCACAGAACTGTCTCACATGGTGATTCAACCAAGCCAGAACGAATTTTAAACACCCCAGACAGTCATCCTTTATGTCTCAGGGCATAAAACTGAAACTGAGATCACTGGGGTATATCCCAGCTCAGCTGTAGCCAAAGGGTCACACAACTCATGTCTTGCAACTCAGTGTTCAATGGCACCACGCTGATAGCTGAAGACCAGCCATAACAGGAATATTTACACTACAGAAACAGGTGAACACCCCAAAGCAAGGCTTTCCCATGCCCTGCTTCTGAGAGTTAGCCTTTACAATATTACAGTGTATTACTGGTCAAAAATCTAGCTATGCATCCCTCAGTGGTTAAGAGCACTGGCCGCTCTCCAGGTCAAGTTCGATCCCTACCACCTACATGGCGGTTCACAACCATCTGTAACTCCAGTTCCAGGAAATCCAATGTCTTTATCTGACCTATGCAAGTACCAAGCACTCACATGGAGCACATGCATACATGCAGGCATTTACTTATAGTCATAGAATAAAAGTAAGTTTTTAAAAGAGAAAAAAAGAAAGTAAGTTATTCCTGTGAGCAGTTGGAACAGTGTCCCAAGAAGGAGCCTTAGAGACAGCAGAGAACATATCCCAAAGCAAACCCATCACAGTGAGGGATGGGGTGTATTTATGTAACTTCTCCCATCAATCAGTGGCAGAAGTCAAGGACACAGAAGAAGGACAGTGACAAGATCTACAACATGGCCCATATCCTACAGCTAAAAAAGTGATAGCAATGAAGACAAACTCCCAACCCATTATACCTATAAAAAAGTTAACTAAACAAACGCAACTGAGTGCCAACCATTGGCAAAACCACACAGTGATGGATAGAATATGTCTACTTTGACAATCACTTTGGGTCGGCACAGCCAGAGAAAGCACAGGGTATCTTTCCGTCAGCTGTTCAATGAAGGAAGAGGGACTTGGAGGTTATTAGAGTCAGCCAAATGATGTTTGCACTCTGGTTCAGGCACAGTTGCCTTGAGCAGGAGTCCACAGCAGCCCCAAACTACTAACCCAAACAACCTCATCAAGTTGTCTTCACCTGGGGATGATAGTGGTGACCCACTCAATGGAGACTAAGCTCTGGCGGCTCCATCCGATACCCCATGGCCATGTCCTCTGTGGATATGCAAACTGGCAGTCACAGGCTTAAGTGGGGAGCTTACCCTGCCTTAAGGACTTTAAAAATTCTCCTGGGAGTTAGCTGGGCAGTGGTGGCATGTGACTGTAGCCTTTAGTCCCAGAACTCAGGAGACAGAGGCAGAAGGATCTTTGTGAGTTCAAGGCCACCCTGGTCTACACAGTGAGTTCTAGGACAGCCAGTGCTATACAGAGAAACAAAATAAAGCAAACAACCAAAATAAAAACTTCTAAGAGTCAAGGAGGTGTTTATATGCGACAGTGTGTGTCAATGGGGTAAATAAGTGATCACATCGTGAAGGCGTCAGGAGCAATGGGAAATGGCATGAAGGACCCTGACTTGGCACTATGAGCACAGCCGGGGCAGCTCTTGGGAGCTAAGACTTGAGATCAGAGACAGAACATTTTGTATTCCAAGCACACGACAGGATCTGAGGAGTTCTTAGGACAACCCCCACCCCCATTCCCTCTCAGCCACACTCTGCACTCTGAGCTATCCACCTCCATCTCCTCCCAAGCTTCAAGGACACTCCCTGCCTAAGAATCCAAAAGAGGACTAAATGTAGCAATCAGCTCAGGTTCTTTAGAGATTGGACAGCAGGTCTCCTTTCTGGCAAGTCCCAAAATCCAGACCAATGAGAAGCAGAGAAAAGATGCTGAAATTACCCATCTCGGTACTTCTAGACAGGATCCTTAATCACCCCTAGGTAACTTACACACAGGGCAAGAGCTGGCTCTGAGGCACCAGAAAAGAAGCCAGAGTGAAACCAGGGGGCCTCTGAGATGCAGCAAACATCAGAGTGAGGAAGAAAACTGAAAACAAGGTGTGGCACCTACCGCCCTCCCCCTAAAATGCCACAGAATAGAGGCAAAGTGGCACCTCTGACAGGAGCTTCTGGGATAGAGAGAGGTGTGCTGTGGAGGTCAGGGACTTGGGGGCATGGCCCTGGGCAAGGTGAGGATGATGCTGGCTACAGAAAGCACAGGTTCAAGTACAGAGAATGCACTGACCAACCTGGCCCACCCCACAGGTGCTGGTCTGGGGATCTTGGATACCCTGGTCTTCCAGCTGGGTTTCTCAAGGCTACTCCCTCATCATTTGTGTTAGAACCCAAAAGTCTGTTGTGTTTCTGAAGCACTCTCCTACTTGTTAATGAAGGAATGGGTGTGGCTTCCCATGACCCTCAGCACAGGCAATCCCCCCCAGGTGGCCAGGCAGACTTCACACAGTTCCCTCTTGTACTAGGGCAAGAAACATGAGCTCTCCAAGCTCAGCCATCATTTGATGTTCCTCTACCTTCCCGTGACCCGTTAGAGTGCAGCAGGTCCCAAGAATCAGGCTTTGCCCAAAGGAGGAAACTATCCACACTCAACCCTCTCAGTCTAGGGTCTCTGAACTCAAATGGGCACCGCTCAGGAAGACGCCACAGGGAGGAAGTGAACAGGGGACGGAAGGGGGTCAGTCTTCTCAAACTCAGTATAGCTTAGCCACAGAGGCGTCTTTAACCCTCAGGCCACCTGTAGGAAAAGTTTCCGCTTAATATTTGTGGATTGAAAGTATGACAAATCGACTTCAGATTCCTCGTTCACGTGCTCTTCAAAAAAAAAAAAAAAAGTCCCCTGGCTGTAAGAACTGTGATTCTAATTCTTTCCTCCCACCGCCCCAGGACCGATACCGCAGGGACAGAGCCTGCTCTGACAACTTATCATTTGTCTGCTGCTTCCTCATGCAGGAATCCTCCACTTGGCAGAGCTCTTACCGTAACCCTGGGCCTCCGCTCTCAGGGAGAAGCGTTTCTAACCCCCTGGTTTCCAGACACTTGGGACTAAAGTGCATACAGCGTTGAGCTTGCCACTAAAGCACGGGTGCTCTGGCCGGCCCTGATCTGTCCCCGTCAGGACACCACCACTCTGCTGTCTTCTGGACGCTGTCGGGGTAGAGCTGAGTGCAGTGTAAGCACTCTAGATGCACAAGTGGTCGGGCCGCCTTTGGAAAGCACCTGCCTAGCTCGGCCTCCAGCGTCCTCAGGCACCAGCTCTCGAGGGGACACGAAAACCGGCAGCGGGAAGTGCGCTTAAGCACTGCGCGCCCTGAAACTCTAAGGCCAAGGGGGACCGGGATCGTCCCGGGCCAACGACAAGGCCCTCGCTCTGGGGACCAGGGGGCGCACTACAGTCCGACCCTCCCCTAAGTTACCCAGGCCTGCACCTGCTGTCCCGCTCCACTACGCCAGGGAGTTCGGGACACCCTACTCCGGGGAGGGGGCACTTTCCTGCCACTGCATTTGAGGTCGACCGCAGGAGAGACCTCAAGGGTTCAGAGAGGCAGGATGAACTCTAAGCCACAACTTTCTACCCGGGAAAGCGAGTGGGCTGGGGCGCCCGCCTGCGCACCTCCTGGGACAGACCGCACGCCTAGGACCACCTTGTGGCTCGGGGAAGAGCTGGCGAGCGAGGACAGGACAGACTCAGGGGCCGGGCCGGATCGGCCAAGGGCCTCTGCGGGAAAACTTTGGACTGGGTAGGGGGAGACAGGTCCCCCGGCGCCCGCACCTTGCGTTCGCATCCCGCGCCAGTACCCGATTCTTCGCGCCCCGCGCCTGGTGTCTTGCCTGCGTCCCGGGTCAGCTGTATCCGCGTGCGCCGCAGGGGTTGGAAAGTGGGGGCGCCGCTGCAGGGGTGGGGGTGTTCCAGCGTGCTTGGCCAGCGATCCTCGAGACCCGCTCGCTTGGGCCGGGCTGGGCGGCGACAGCGCGGCTGGGGGCGGGCGCCCCGCCCTCCTGGCCCCTCCGCTCCGCCTCCCCGAGCTCTGCCTTTATCTGCCGATCCCTGACCAACCCACTCGTCACCCTCGTAGCTCTCCTCCACCCGCCCCTCTTCTCTCGCCTTTCTTCCCTCCTCTCCCTCCCCTCTAGGGGGCGGAGCTTCTCCCCTCCCAACAAGACAGACAATGCTGGGGCTTCTCGGCGCCCCCACCCCCCGCAGCTCACCCCCCCCCCGACACACACACACAAATCGCGCGGGCTGCCCGTGTTTCCTCCAGACCAGCTGGAGTGGATGAAGAGGGGACGGAGAGCGCGGGTGAAGAGGATAAGGTGGCTGCCTCCTGTCACCCCATTGCGCCTTCCCTCTCCCAGTGGCGTGGAGATTTGGCCCAGACTCTTAGGCTCGCCTGGCACAGTGACAGTCAGTTCCAGGGAGCAGCCCGCCTAGAGAATGCAGATTTCCTAGCAAAGGATGTGCAATTGATGGGGTGGGGCGGGGTTTCTTTTCTAACACCCCAGCTTGCTCCCAAAAGGGTTTGAGCCGCTAAAGGACTAAGTGGGCCCCTTCGACTTCGCAAGCCGGTAGACGTGACAGTAATGTGAAGGAAGTCAAGTTTCTTTGTCCATGCCCCCCCCCGCCTCCTCCTCTTCTCCATCTTTAGACCTCAGGAACCTAGCGCATAAGAAGAAGCACCCAGCTGCGGATTCTGTAACCTCTCACCAAAATTCTGTCTATACATCCCCGACCTTGCAGTGGGCCCCCAAACCAAAGGGGAAGATAACCTAACAGTTAAAGAAAGCGTGGCCAAAACCCCAAAGTGCCGACCAGCGCATCCCGCCTGCCTGGAAGCCAGATATTCTCTACTACTCATTGTTTGGATCTTGGAATGTGTCTCCCATAGAAACAATGTCATAAACGGCGATCCCTTCCCAGGCCAGCCACAAATTTGCTGAACTCAAAGCGCAGCTGTGGGGTGGTGCTGGAAACGACCCACAATAGTGAACAAAAAGGCTACTGATCAGCTTTTTCTATAGTGGAAAAAAAATGGATAAATGCATCTAGCTCTTTTCCCTTGAGCTATAAACACAAACCGGCTCCACTAACTTCTCTCGCAGGCCATTACCATATAGTCGGTAAGCTGTTCTCCTTCGCAGGTACAGGACCCCAGGAGGAATGTACTCTGAGGATATGGCATTTCTCAGGTTAGGACTGCAGGGAGAACTGAGTAAGTAAAGCTCCAGGAAGCCTTCTCCGAGGGTTTGTTCTTCTCTTTTAACCTGGCCTTCCATGACCTCAGAAACAGGACAAAGGGTAGCCATGGCTCCTAACAGCAGGGCTCTGGCTTTGCTGTTCAAGAAGGCTGTAAGGTACTGCTAGAATCCTGTTCAGCCAAGTGGCCATCTCATAACCAATCATTTGGCTTCTCACCAGTTAGGGGTACACTCCTAATGCCAGAAACACTGATCCTCAGCCCTGTTTAAATCCAAATCTGCCAGGCCTGGTGGCATACACCTATAATCCCAGTGCTCGGGAAGCCGAGACAAGACTACATAGCAAGACCATTGAAAAGCACCTCAGCAAATACAGCTGAGTGGTGATCTGAGTCACTGGAAACCCCGTGTTTTCCCCATAGTGAAGGCTAAGGAGAGAAGACAGGGCCTTCAGAGAAGACAGACGTGATGGATGCATCTGGGCTGTGGCTAATATTTCTCAATAGGAAACATGCATCGAACTTTACCTTTCAACACTGCAGATTTCCACATTTAGCTGGGCCAGAAGGCGGATTACCTATGAAAGAGGCAGAGGAGCATCATCTAAAAGAAACTGCACAATAAAAATGGTACCAAGCCCAGTGGTGGTGGTGGTGGTGCTTGTAGGAAAAAGGGTCCAGACAAAGAAACACACTTTGGCCCTGCAACCAGAACCAAAGAAATGCACCCTGACCCTGAAACCAGTGCCAAAGGAACACACTTTGTCCCTGGAATCAGAGCCAGTGAAAGTAATACACCCTGGCCCTAAAACTAGAGCCAAAAAGCTAAAAAGGACCAGAGAAAGAAACACACTTTGGCCCTGAAACCAGAGCCAAATCTGACCCTAATCCTGTGCAGAAAATTAACCAATCCCTGAGCAGGAGCTCTAGCCAGTCTAAGCTCCGCATTGAAATCTGACCAATCCCCACCCTGGAAGCCCTATATAAATCCTGTGTCTGTTCAGCTTGCGGCTGTTCCAGCTACTTGGATTCTTCCATCCCAATAAACTTCTTAGATGAGCTTTGGGTGAAGACTTTCTTTTGCAGCAGCAAGAGCAGAGATGACCCTGGGAAGAGCAGAGCAAGCAGGGCTGTAACGCTTCTGCAAGGGGGGGGGGGACACCTTCCCTTAGCAGAGCAAAGTTGTTACCCTCTGCTCTCCCTCTGCTCTCCCTCTCCCAGGAGCAGAGCTGAACTGTAGCAACTTCGCCCAGGAAACTTTCTCCTGCCGGAGCAAAACTGCTACAACTGGGCAAACATTCCCAGCTGGAAGACCCTCCTGCTGGAGCAGCTGATACACTGGGAAAGCCTTTCCCTGAGGCAGGGCTGTAAAAGCTGCCATGCTTACTGTGGCCTGTGGTAGTCCTTGGCTCCCAAGCTCCAGGATACCTTTCCATCTGACCTGTGTAACACTTAGTATTCTGCGACTCCCAAGTGCCAGAATACCTGTCCCACCCCATATGCTGAAATGCCTACAGTGCTCACCTTTGATCCCAGCACTTGGGATGCAGAGGCAGCAGTAGGATCTCTGAGTTCAAAGCCACTCTGGTCTACACAGTGAGTTCCAGAACAGTCAGAACTACACAGAGAAACCATGTCTCAAAAAAATATCAGAATGAAAGTATAGGTGGCTGTGGTCTCATGAGGTGTATTGTTTAGATTTTGGGATAAGAGAACGGTGCAAATGATGACAGCTTGAGCTGCTGGCACTCTGGCTCTCACTTGAAATGCCTTTAGGAAAGCAAACCCAGGCTCTCTGGAAGCAGTTTTGATTTTATTAGTTGTGCTGAGAGTTTCTGACTCCCTTCCAGATTCCAAAGGAAGAAGTTTCATCCCCTCCCTTGTCCTCTTAATTTCCTGCCTCTCTGCCCCACCTGTCATCACAGCCACGGCTCCCCTTTTCTCAGATGTTTCCTTGAGGCCCATGAAGGCCACACGGTTCAGGAAGTCTGAGGAGGTGAGCTAGGCTGGAAGCGATACTCAGATGGTCAGTCCCCAGCCTCAGAGAGACCTGCTCCAAGGTGTACTACCTTGAGGACCTGAGCCCTAGAGGCCCATAGTAATAGTAACTCATCTATTCTTGCACCCCTGGCAGTCTCTCCTGCCTATACCCTCACTGTCCTTCCTTCACTCTTGCTTTCGGGTCCTAAGTAAGTAACCTGCACCCAAGTCCACCCTGTGCCTCACAATCCAGCTTTACTCAAACTTTTACACATCTGTGAGAGCCTGGGAATTATGGTGACCCCAATAAGTTAAACCCAACCCCGCCCCCTGTGTAATCGTGGGGAACATAGCCTCCCATCTCCTGGCATACCACCTCTCCAGATGCTAGGGTGACAGCTATAGGATATTGGAAACATTATTTTCTTTCTGTGGGTGTCCTACATTTCTGCCCATGTTTTGCTAATGAAATCGCCCACTGTGGAAGCCGCTAGCCCTGTGCCATCCTGCTGGGGAGGCTTCTAGTCACATGTAACTATTGAATTGGCTTGTGTTCTCTTTGCTCTTGTTCTCCTTCTTCCTATTTTACTTTCTTTTCTTTTTCTTTTTGGAGACAGAGTCTCACTGCGTAGCCTTGACTGGCTTGAAACTCACTATGTAGAACAGGCTGGTCTTGAACACTTAGATACGCCTGCCTCTGCATCCTGGGACAAAAGGTGTGCATCAGCTGGACTGTGTTTGTAAGGGGCTGAACTTTTATTTATTCAAATTAAAATTTAGATATTGCTTCTCAGCTCAGTTACTATGTAAGTTTTAAGTGTATTTGACCCACTTAGGTATGTGAGTCTACTTTTCCAACTAGAAATTTTAGAAAGCAAAACTACAGATTGAAATTTTTTCTTTTATTTTTTATTATTTATTTGTTTTTTGTTGTTTATTTTTGGGTTTTTGAGGCAGGGTTTCTCCATATAACCATCCTGGCTGTCCTGGAACTTGCTTTGTAGACCAGACTGGTCTGGAACTCACTGAAATCCACCTGCCTCTGCCTCCCAGATGCTGGGATTAAAAGTGTGTACCACCACTGACCAGCCCTTCTTTTATTTTTTGAGATTATATAACTACATCATTTCTTCCTTCCCTTTTATTCATACTAACCCTCTCATATAATTTCTTACTCTTTTTCAAGTTCATAGCCTCTTTTTTAATTAATTGTTATTACTTGCACACACACATATGTATTCCTAAATACATAAATCAGGTTGAATTTTTTTTCTTTCTTTGGTTTTTTTGAAACGAGGTTCTTTGTGTAGTTATTCTGGATGTTCTATAACTCACTGTGTACACCAGGCTAGTCTTGAACTCATAGAGATTATGTCTGCCTCTGCCTCCCAAGTGCTGGGATTAAAGGTGAGCGCTACTACTTCCCAGAAGGGAATTTTTAATGAAAATTTAGTGTCTGAGTTATGATTGGTGAAGTATAAACATACTCATTTCATCCTTACTATAAAAGTCAAATGTAAAATACTTCATGAATAATTTCTTTATGTGTTTATGATTTATTTGTTTATATTATGTATTTATGGCTACTAGAAATTCATACCATGGCTCTTGTGAGGAATCCAGGGCCTTACCCATAATAGACATGTGTTTTCCTTCTGAGCTACATTCCCAGTATTTGGCACCATCTTTTTGTTTGTTTGTTTTGTTTTTGTTGTTGTTTTCTTTTTCTAGTCAGGGTTTCTCTATGCCCCACTGTAAATCCTATCATCAGTGTAGGCATTTCAGGCAGATCGGGTGGGACAGGTATTCTGGCACTCGGAATCACAGAATACTGA